AAACATGCTCATGCTGACATCCAGTGCTGTCGAAAGCCCTGCATTAAGGCCATGCACATGCAACAACATAAGAATGATTCAGTATGCTAGAAAGTAGAATCGCAGATTATAAAACTGTTTAAATGTCAAAAGGGCTACTTTTGCAAATTAAGAAATTCCTAAAATGATCAGTTTTAATTATGAGTTGGCTATACATTTAAATGCCACTTCTAAACTAAATAAAGACTTTTGGATGCTTGACTAAAAACAAACAACAAAACAGGACTTTGCATCACTAATTAAAATGTAAATAGTGTAATGAGGACATCAGTGATTTAGACAAACGTCTCTTTGGCTGCCACAGGGGGTATGATAATTACAGAGGCGAATCTATGAATGCACATGAATCTCCTACAAGTCCAGATTAAAAGCCTTAGTGCTAAACCTAGTTTGGTGCACCTGGGGATTGTCTATTCTAGCCAATCCCCAACAGGCTCTGAGCTGCCTCGTCTTCTTATGAGTGCAGACACCTCTTGTGAGGGAGATGAAACAAAGCCTGTGTTTCACCGTGTTGGAAAGCGGGGAAGAATAAGGAGTTGGAGGTAACAAATGCAGCACTTTGAGTAAATAATACCCCAACCAATGGCCTGAATTAAGTAGCCCTGCCTGTATAACACACATACTGGCAATGTTGGTGTTATAATCAGTTATTCAGGGAACCCTGAACTCTTTGAGGATGTTTTGTTTAAGAAAATATAGGATACAATGTGTGAATTAATTTCTTTTAAACAAAGCAAAGAATTACTGACCACATTTGAACTAGCTTAGGAAACAAAAAGGTAAAAAAGTAAAGTAAGCATGATGTTTTTGAATTCAAATAATATGACATACTAGGCATGGGAAGGTTTCTGGGGTCAATATAGACAAAGGTTTTAAATGTCTCAAGCAGACAAATTCAATCAAGTCATTTTTTATAAGATGCCCAAAACGCAACACTGAGTGTCCCACCCATTCTGCTGTGCACTGCAGGTCAGCTGGCAAGAGAAAAAATGCGCTTATGCTGCTGCTGTATGGCAAACTTGGAAATCCTAGTGATAATATAAGCATTATGTTTCTCTACGAAATAAAAAATAAAATATGCAAGTTATGCAAACTGCAAATAAAATGTGCTAAAACCACAAAATTGTTGAACAATAACTCATCTTGATGCCTGCCTGATGCGGCCGCATTCACACAAAACTCCCTACAAAATAACCAGCTGCTTTATACTGGTGCTAACATGGATGAAAAGCTCCTACTGTTTGGAAATATAACACGTAATATCGGTGCACTTAAAAACTTTTGGTAATTTTAGATGCTATTTTACTTACGACGTTTATATGAAAAGTGTAAACATGTGGTTCAGACAAGAGTATTAAAACTATAATAAACACTATATAATCTTTACATCGCTATGTTTTCTTTTTTTGATAAATAAAAGTGGATCATGTCATGTCATTTTTGTGTTTATACTGTGATATTTTAATATTTTCAAACATATTTATCACAGCATGAGGACCTCATGCAACCTCATTCCCATCTGAATAAAAAATTTATACAAAACTCTATAAAAAAATAAGGAGAGAGATTTTCACCTTTTACTTGCAAAAAAAAACAACAACTAGCGAACGGCAAGTATAGGACCATACTAAGGATCATAAAATAACTCAAATAAAAAAAGTCATATTCATTTCTAAATAATATGCCTCACTGAGGAGAAGTTCAGAGATCAATACTTGGAAAAACAAAGACGCGTTTAATGCATTTTGGCAAACACAACAGTTATTTGGATATGCTGCTTGGTTCAGTTTAACACCTAATCAGTATTTTATAAGAGGAATGACGTGTTCGGATTTAGCAGACATTAGAATGGAAAGTTTTTTTAACATGCAAAAGAGCCAAGTTAGGAATAACGTAAAAGTGATCTTTTTTGTTTTGTTTTGTTTTTTGGGCCTATATAAAGTTCTGCTTGGTGATTTACTCCTCAACTTGCAAAATGTTTTGCTTTAAAATCAATTAGAATTTATTTGTGTGTTTTTTTCATCTTTCTAGTAGGAGAAATGAATTGCACGATAAGCTGGTAGCTACAAGCAGTCAAATGTAGGCCCATGAATTAAAAAAAAAAAACATCTACGCCATATGCTGTCACTCAGAGGAAAGAAAAAAAAACAAGTCTGAGCAGACAGTCACTGTGTCTAAATGAGATGGTAGGAGGAGGAGGAGGAGGAGGGGAAGGAAAAGGGAGGATGTCAAGGATCCATGGTCCTTCATCTTTGCAGTAGAGCAAACACGTCCCTCAGTATAGCAACAGACAGCTGCCTCCACCTTCTAACGCCGTCCAACTTAAATCACTGCGAGAATTGTCAGTGTAGAGAGAAAACGCACAAAGATAACATAGCAGGCTGCCATGAGGGAAACGACAGAGATGGGGAAACAAGAAAAGGGGAGACATAGACAAAGAGAGAGGAGGGAGGGGAAACGTGGAAAGACTGGAGTTTTTCTTTTTTCTCTTTTTTATGCCGAAGTCTGACTTCTGCGGACACTCTTCTTTTTTTAATCATTAAAAAACAGCAATGACACCGCTTAATATGTTTCCATAAAGCTGACAACCCCGATCTGATCAGGTTTAATATAGTGAGTCCCTTACAAGGGATTTCTTTTTGTCACAGCTCGATAGATCAATGTGTAAAGATAAACATTTCATCAATTTACAAAGCTTCTCTAGACACCTATGGCAGTGTTCTTTTATTTGCCATTGTTGAGTTGTCAGGTCTGTTGTATACATGTTTCTCTTCATTTTGTGTTGAATGTGTGGTGCTGCACACTTCAGATTATAGGCGGAACACTTAGAGAAGGTAAATTGCTTGTAAAGACCATATTACGTTATAAAGTTGAAGATTTCTTTAGGATGCACTTTCCTGAATATTATTTGTGCCTTCTGGTGCATTTAGAAATAATAGGCAAAAGATTGATTACTGGAATAATTCTGGTGTATAAATAAATAAAGTAATATGGTAAAAAGTAAACCTTTAAGAATTTAATTTAGCATTTATACATGTTTTTACAGTCTGATAATATAACTGAAAACAATTTGATTTCTTTCAGCAAAAGTTCCCTTAACTTTAACTAAAGCTAATACAAATATATTTCACATATTACTATTACCAGTCACTTCTAAAAAAAAATTAACAGCAAAAAGGGTGACAAAAAAAATTATTGTGGCGGGTCAGTATTTGCCGATTTTTTTCTTTCATATTTAGGTCAAGCTGAAGCTGGAATTGTAATCGCAAATGTTATCCTATCAGAAATAAACAGCGCTGCCAGCGTTCTTTTTATGCACATCCGAAGTGTCTGGGGTTAAGTAAGGACCTGCTAGAATCACCTAATGCTCTGCAGGAGCTCAGGCGTGGAACCCTTCAGGACATTAAACTCTGAAACGCATGCTCAGGCATTTCTTAATTATTAGAGGTCAAATACTGAGAAGTAGGAGAAAAACCAGATTTATTCTAACATGCAGATATATCTAATAAAAGGATTTTCTTTTCAGGAAAAATTTTATAAAGATCTAATGGGTAAATGGAAAGTTTAAATGCTCACATTACCATTTTTGTATCTTGTCATTTAATCCATGTGATGAAAAAATAAAATAGTAAATCTGCAGCATACAGGGTGAGAGAGGGTAATATATTGAATCTCACAGAAATTATGTTTATCCTGTTTAAGATCCTGTATACTGAGTTAAGTTACCAAAAAAATCATTTAACACAACTACACATCACACATACATTGGGAAACACAAAAATGACAAAACAATCAAAATACAAGCAGCACATTTTACCCACTTTACAAAAAAACAAATTACAACAAAAACACTTACACATAATAAATGTGGTGGTTATGTATTTTTTTTTAAACTAATGAGTTACGGATGCTGGAATGCATTTTTTTTTTTTTTTGAAGAGGAGTGAAACACACTTCAGCTCACTGATGGCGATGTTTAATTTCCTCTCAGAGCGAAACATGCAAATGAACTGCAAGAACACAATTAAGTGAGTTGTTCGTAACTGGTAGGTGGAGAACAGGTTCACTCAGGACAGAACGTTTGCAGGGGGAGAGAATTTACACAACTTGTTACCCCCCCACCTCCAAGCCTATCACAGACGCACACACACCATCTGACTATGTGTCAATTTACTGGCTTGTCACAAATGATTACCACTGGAACAAAGAATGAGAACTACTTCTGACATTTAGCACAATATATGTGAGCAGATCTTATTTTGTGTCAACTCATGTTGGAAGGAGAACTGAAAAAAAGTCTTTCCCTATTTGACATTTAAATATCAACCAACATGGGACTTTAATGACATATTTAATTACTGTCATCTTTCTTCTCTGCATATTAACCAAATGAACTGTTACAATTCTCCCCGTTAACTGTGGATTTTTAACATTAAGATTGTACTTTAATTTACAAGTTTAAAGGTTAGAGTTCAATACTTTAAGGATTCAAATTGTTAGTAAATTAGTATAGGTATTTTAACTGCTATACAATAATAACTGAAACTAAGCCAAACAATATATTTATGCCTAAAATACACAATAGAAAAACAAACATGAAAATATTTTTGTCTTCTTAGATAAAAATGTATAAGGTCCTATGAATGCATTTTCTTTTAGAGTAGCACATGCATGGCGACTTAAAAAGTTACATGGAACTTAAAGAAAGGTAAAGTGCTTCTGTCAACTAAAAAGCAGATAACTAATGCTATTTGTCTGAAATCAATAACACGTCTAATCAATATCCTCTTATATCTTTAATCATATTGAGGCTGCATTAAAGAAACTTAGGATGAACCATGCACACAAAAAGACAATATAAATACTGCAATGAAAATGTTTTTTTCAAAAATATGACAAACAAAAAATATATATATAAATTTATATCAATGAAGATAATTGCAAATTGAACAAAGGCCTACCATAAATACTGCTGCTAGTGATCATGTCTTCAAGCCTAAAAACAAAAGGAGAGGGGGGAAAAAACAGCAGAATCGGAATTTTCACGAGGTGGAATTCCAAAGGTTGCTTCTCAATACAGCCACTTTTTTTTCCTTCAGCTATCAGATTTCACAACTTAAAAAAGGCTCCGTTGTTCTTTTCCTTAGTGCTTAATAATTAAGAGTAAGGTTTAAAAAAAAAAAGAAAAGAAATGAAAAAAGAATGATTTCAGGGGGGAAAAATAAAGCATTCCCGTGGACGGAGGATAGATTGCAGGGGCTGTCACTTCTTGCGCTGAGTAGAAACTATAGAATAGGAAGCATGTGAGGGACTGGAGATGACATAAAACACACATTCTTCCAGCCGCCCATTAAGAGGAAGAGGCTAAAGCAGCGTGAAGCCCCCCTCCTCCCTTTACGTTTAAAATAGATTACTTGCCAGCAGTTGTCCCACTAAGAGCGCAATGACAGCCCATCTTTCTATTAACCTCCTGCCTGCAGCTCAACTGGCCGCTTTTATTCAGCCTGACATGCAAAAACTTCCCGATGCAAGAAAGTTATTTATTTGGGATGTAGCCCTGAAACTGTGCCGCGTTAAAAAAATAAATTAATTAATTAAAAAAAGACACACACACAAAGTCGGATTAACTCCAACATCAACGATATTGCGTTTTAAAGCAAATCATTTTATATAGCGCTTAAAGCGCGCAAGATGCGCGTCCGCAGACGGACAGCGCTGCAGCCTTGTGATGCTCGCCTCCCGTGTCTCAGCCTTCCTGCTCAGTTTCTCTTTCTATAGAATTTGTTCGCATCACTGTTAGACGGAGCGGGACTCACCTGTGTGAGGTGACAGCGCAGCGTCACGGCTTTACGCGACCATCGATCCGCGGAACGCAGGGAGGAATGCGGGGCTCGCCGCGATCAAGCGTGGCTTCTCGCGGTTTGAAACCATTCCAAGTTAGTGGGGGGAAGACTGACCACAGCCTCTGCCATGTTGGAATTCCAAACCCTGGACAGCTGCTCCACTGACTGAAGGCAGCTCGCCGCGTCACTGCGCATGTTCTGTCCGGTTAGAGCCAAATTCAAAGCTATTCACCCCCAATGAGCAACAGTTAAATGTGTCTAATAGTCTGTGTTTCAGGGAAGAAAATCGGTGAATATTGAGCTAAGTGTGTTTTTCAACTTGAATTTCTTTGGATTTTCTTTCCAAATTTATATGATCAAAACCTTAAAAACCACTTTAAGAGGAGAATAACAAAAAAGTTCATCTCTAATGTCCTTAAACAGAATCAAGACTGTGTCCTGACCTTTTCACTTAAGACACAATACTAAATCAGTTTGTTAAGATAACATGTGCTGGCACAGAAACCATTTACCTTACTGATTTATTTTAACATTTTTTTTCCAAAGAGAAGCTTTTGCACTTTTTCATATACTGATATTAAGAATGGATCCTAATTTTGATTTGCTAGATCGGGGGTCTGCAGCCTGCAGCTCCAGAACCACAACTGCCTCACTGTCTCAGTGGCGCAATTTAAATAATTAAACGATGAACTAAACTATTATCCTGTTTCCTTTGTTTAAGTGCTTTGGTATGTTCTCCCATGAAAACACAGTCCTCTCCCCCAACTGAAAACAATTAGGCTATACATAGTATGAAAGGAGGTAAAGTTTTGCATACATTAAAAGACGTTCATTCTTCTTTCAGCCAACATCTTCAACTTCCCATCATGACTACAGGCATTTAGGCAGTTGAACATAAAATGTTGAATATAAAAATATTGGTTCAAGTACCTTACATATATATATATATATATATACATCCATCCATTCTCATACACGCTTAATCCCAAGTGGGGTCGCGGGTTGTGCTGGTGCCTATCTCCAGCTGTCTACAGGCGAGAGGCGGGGAACACCCAGGTCGCCAGTCCATCGCAGGGCAACACAGAGACAAACAGGTCAAACAACCATTCACGCACACACTCACACCTAAGGGGACTTTAGAGAAGCCAGTTAACCTAATAGTCATGTTTTTGGACTGTGGGAGGAAGCCGGAGTACCCGGAGAGAACCCACGCATGCTCTGGGAGAACATGCAAACTCCATGCAGAAATAATCCAGAACCCTTCTTGCTGCAAGTCAGCAGTGCTATTCACTGCACCACTGAGTAGCCCGGTTTTATATTGATATATATGTATGTGTGTGTGTGGGTGGGTGTAAAACTGAACATATAATACAACTAGTTGTATATAATACAACTAGTACCACTGTTCTCATAATTTTACTTATGTGCATTCCATGGATGAAGAGGTGATGCTCCCTGCTGAGAAATGTGTGAATACATTGTGTTCTTAAGTGGAACTACAATGTTTTATATATTTTAGCCCAGAATCTAAGGCGTCATTTATGCAGAGCCAAAAATGGGTATCTTCCCAGGAACGTTTAAGTGTAAAAAGGAAACTGGCCAGAGAAGAACTTGTAATATAAGGTTTGTAATACTTTTGCCATGGTGGCGAGGGGCATGGTAACACTGCAAATGTAAAGATGGTACAGGGAATAAAAAAGACAGGGTGATAATTATAAATTTAGGATCTAGAAAAGGTGGTGACATACTGGATAGAACAAAAGTTTGAACATTGTCTGAACCCCAGAGATGGCCTCTTTGCATCATTGTGCAAGGCCATTAGCCCCAGACCGCTGCCTGGGGACTGGATCGCTCCTCACTGCTCCCTAAGTGTGATGAGTTATGTCCAGAAATCAAATTTCATTGTAATCAATATTTACAAAAACAAATACAGACTTTTATTAATATCATGAAAAGAGCTGTTTGTGCAACAATTAGGCAGGTAAAACAAACACCGTAGAAAAAAGAAATGTGTCATTGTAAACTCCACCATAAATTAAAAGGTTTCTAAAACACAGACACAACCCTAAAGTCCTCCATTGTTGTTTTTTGTTTGTGCATGGGAGATGCAAGTCCTTCAATGTTTAACATGCAAACACATCTCTTTATAGCCAGTTATGAAGATAGGGGTTTCCACAAAGCAAAAAATGGACAGTTACAAATCCTGCCTCTTGGAGCAAGTTTCAGTTATTGTGGGTTTCATTGCTGAAAAATCTCATAGCTACATGTGTGACATCGACACATTTCTTTCATTATGTCCAAAAAAAGGCAGTGTTAGCCAGCTTGAGAGTGCTTGTAAGTGGAAATGAAATAAGCAATATTCAAATGGTGGTCCTCAACCCCAGGTTCTAAGGGACCCACTGTGCTGCAAAAGCCTGTTAATCACCCAATTATGTAAGTCAGTTGCACACAAGGGAAACCCCTAAAACATGCTGGCCAGTGGGCTCTAAAACCATGTCTGGAGACGGAATCAGACACACAAGATACAGAAACATTGATTGACAAGAGTAGCGACTTCCAGAAAAAATCCATAAATCCAGCCAATAAATTAAGTGTTTAGACAAAATACTAACCCAGATTCAGAGAAAGTATAATTTGGGTTTCATTAAGTTTAATAAACATCTTTGCTTTATATGCTTATTGCATTTTTTTATTTCACTAAATACCTTGAAAGACACTGCTGTTCTCTATATTTCACTTGGGACACCAAAAATACCATTGACACCTTATGCCACGTTTGACAGCAAATGTTGCATTATTCCTCTCATCTCTGTACCCAAGGTCCTGGAAAAAGATTCATTGAATTAGCCTTCAGCGCTCCCTTGGCTTCAACATGCTAATTCCAGCTGGCCCAACTCTTTGGAGAAATCATAAGGCAGGACAGGGAGCAGTCACGGAGCTGCACCTGGAAATAACACTTTGAACACATCAAAACAAGCAGTATTTTCAAGTATGTGATATTAATAAGCTATATGGCAAGGAGACAGAGTGGTAGAACTGATTCTGCTGCGGGGTAAAAGGAGATGCCAACATTCATCAGATAATTCATACACTCATATGACTCAAGCAAAAGCGGGCATCCAAGCTTGTAGAGGAACTGCCTGTGAAAATTTCTGTGTGCTGTGAAGGTCACAGTGAAAACAACAGCAGTGCATTTCCAGGTGTAGCCACGTCCATTGTCTCCTTCCTCATATAGGCATGTTCAGTCTGTGCCTTTGTCCTTGTGTCAGCAGGCAGGACATTCTAAATTATTTTGCTCAGCTGCCTCCCTGAACTCTTGCTACAGCATGTCAATACACACATCGTGCAGAAGCTTGTACACACATGGCCACAGGGAGCACAGTTTATGTCTATCACACTACAATTTTTGACACATGCCAAAATCTTAAGAAGAAATAAGATATTTTACATTGTCTTTTGTTTTTTATTGTAAATTAAGAACTACATTTCACACTTTTGGAATTTGGCAAAGAAATTAACATGATTTAAATTTAGGCCTATGAAAGAATGAGGACAGAATGAAAACAATTGATGATATCCTTTTTCCTGTTGCTCAGCCAGCAAAACTGTTAATTTCCCCCGGAAAGAAGCTAGGGGCCTACAAGGCATGTGAGTTGCTTTTCCATTTTTTTAACCTCTGCCTACTGAATTCTATTTTATGTGGGATCACTTCAGTAGCGTTGCTGTCTATTGAAGCACTGACTCCGGAGAAACCATCAGCAGGCAGCAGAGCAGGCAGTGGAGCATGCATCTTTACCAAACCGTTTTTATTCCCCTGATCAGTGGTGTGTCAAGGTATTGACTGATCCTCAGCGTAATCACAGCAGCTACACCTGCATCATGTTTCATAACAAATAACAACATGTTGAGTTCTTGCCCCGGCCCTCAAACCTATAATGCTATTTCATCTTGTGTCTGTGTTTATATTCTCTGTCATTACACAAGTTAATCAAATTCGATTTGGGGACTTTTCATAGAGTGATGGTGTAAACAATATAATTTGCTGAGGTCTTATATTGCATCTATGGGCCATCAGAGTCAATGATTTCTCATCAGGAATAAAGATCTTTGAGCTCAGATGCACACTTGTTTTAGTTGAGTCACAGGCATAAAACGTTATTGCCTGAAGAGCTCCAGATATGTATGAAGTAAATAAGGTATAAAAAAAAAACAATAATTTATAGAACAGATTATACTAATGCTTTTAAATGTTTATTGTAGCTAAAGCCCTACAAAAACGACATTTGGGGTTAAAATACATTAACCAAGTATATTTTTACATCTATATCATGTATATTAGTTATTAGTAAATGTATTATGTGTTACTAATTTAAAATAACAAAGATCCCCTGATAATTTGGGGAAAAGTACTACCTTATATGATTTTGTGTAGAATACATCTGAAGTTGCTTATTGATTTGTCTCTTCTATCATACTATGCAAAAATGGTGAATCTATATTAAGTATATGGGACCTATCAAAAAATAATGTATCAAGTAAAAGTTAAGAGACGTCATAAAACTGAGAACTAGGAATTAAGTTTTCACTCAAGCTTTTATGAGTTTAGCACCATTGGTAATGCTATTTTCAAACGGGCTACCATGTTCAGCTTCTTGATCCTGAGTTATTTGTCATAATGGTCCCAAGTGGTGCTCCTAGTGGTGTGGAGCACTTCTCCTATGCAAAGCTAGTTTGCAGCATTTCTTAACTTGCAGTTGTTCTTGCTACTTGTAGCATTTTCCTTTGCATGTGCTTTGAGTGTTGGTTTAATTTCTGTGTATGTTAGTCTAATTCCTGTAATATATCTACTCTTTATTGCATACATACTCGAATGCTGGGCATGTGCCTGACCCAGTTTGTTCTGCTGTGTTTTGGGAGTTTGTTTTGATTGTGCCCAAATGCCTGCTCTGCTTCTGGCTGCCCAGCTCTTCTCCCCTTATTACCTAAGCAGCAACATCTGCCGCTGCTAATTTGAGATAGTTAGATGCACCTGCAATCCTCCCTAAATATACCTGATGCTCTCTTCTTTGGGCTGCATGGTGAAACAGTGGGTAGCACTGTTGCCTTGCAGCAAGAAG